TGTCAGCACAGAGCCCAACACGGGGCTTGAACTCATAAACCTGAGATCATGACCTGACTGAAGTTGGATGCTTAACTGACTGAGCCACCCAGGCTCCCCTTCTCTTCTTATTTAAAAAAATATTTATTCATTTTTGAGAGAGAGACTGTGAGTGGGGGAGGGGCAGAGAGAGAGACAGAGAGACAGAGAGACAGAGAGAGAGAGACAGAGACAGAATCCGAAGACAGGCTCCAGGCTCTGAGCTATCAGCACAGAGCCCGACGTGGGGCTCAAACCCACGAGCAGTGAGATCATGACCGGAGCCGAAGTTGGACACTTAACTGACTGAGCCACCCAGGCGTCCCCTCCTTATTTAAAAAAAAAAATTTTTTTTTTTAATGTTTTATTTCTAGGAGAGAGAGAGAGAGAGACAGCGTGAGCAAGGGGGGGTCAGAGAGAGAGGAAGTGACAGACTCTGAAACAGGCTCCAGGCTCTGAGCTGGCAGTCAGCACAGAGCCCGACGCGGGGCTCGAACCCACGAACCGCGAGATCATGACCTAAGTGAAAGTCGGACGCTTAACCGACTAAGCCACCCAGGTGCCCCGCCCCCTCCTTATTTTTAATCTTGTTATCATTTCCTCTGAGTTTGGAAACAATTCAGACAGACTCTTAATTCACTCAGCACTTTGCAGGCTTTTTCTTTTTTTAATTTCAATATAATTAACATACAGCATGACATTAGTTTCAGGTGTACAATATAGTGATGCCACACCTCCACATGTCAGTGAGGACTTTGCTTTTTAAAAAAAAAATTTTTTTTGAGAGAGAGTGAGAGAGAGCAAGTGCACAAGCAGGAGAGAAGGGCAGAGGGAGAGAGAGAAAAAATCTCAAGCAGATTCCATGCTCAGCACGGAGCCTGAGGTGGGGCTCAACCCTACAAACTGTGAAATCAAGACCCAAGCAGAAATGAAATCAAGAGTCAGCCACCCAGGCGCCCCACAGCTTTGATTTTTTTTTCCTGTCCTCCACATTCAAATTTTCTGCCAAGGCATACAAAATCTAACTCTAAAATCTTTTTTGCATCTGCCACCTCTTTGATTCCTACCTCTACCACTCCAATTCATGATTTTAGGGTCTTAGACAACTGTAAAGTCCGCTAACTGGCATTCTTACCTCCTAACTGGTCTTTCCAAAGTCTTGCCAGATTCATTTTCTTGTAAAGAAAAACTCTGATGGTGTCTCTCCCTTGCTCAGGAAAACACAAGGCTACCCCCCCACCCCCCCCAGCCTGCTGGATTTACTACAGGAATGGCAGTCTGGCATTTGAGACTTTCTGCAACATCCCACTCACTATTGTAAATATCCACACGAAAGGATACCAGGCAGCCAAATTCACAGACTTAGCTCTTCAATCATTATACTTGAAACAATCGTGCTACACTCCTTTGTCCTGACCTCCTTCATTCCCAGTCTACTGGTTTGCATGTCTCCCTCTTTGCTCCACGTAGTGTCATGACTGTGTCACTGGCTTCCTGGCCGGTGCGTTTGGGCCATCCCCCCGTGTCTGTGATTCTACAGACTGTCTGCTCAGTAGCAACCCCAGGACCTCCCTTTGATGCCAGCCAACTCCCACTTTGCAAGTACCTCCTGCCACGAGCCACCTTTTCGCGTATTTACTGACTCCCCTAGGCCTCAGCTGAACTGGAAATGGGACAGTGCTCACACTCACCCCATGCTCTCGCTCATGCTAATCCGTTCACCCGAAACACATTCTCTTATCTCTAACTTACCTCCCAAAGCCCGTCTCAAATTCTGCATCCTCCAAGAAGTTTTGCCTGATGCCCCCAAATTAAATGTGATCTCCTCTCTGAAACTAATGGGATCTTATTTATGCCCCTCCTATCACTATCATATTGTGATAGCTATTATCATATTATTATAGTTATTTCTGTGCATGCCTTACCCACCTAGCATCCATGGACTAGCTGGACTAGGTTTGTTTTTTTTTTTAAGTTTTTATTTATTTATTTATTTGAGAGAGTCAAAGAGAGAGAACAAGCAGGGGAGGGACAGAGTGAGAGGGGGACAGAGGATCTGCAGGAGCTCTGAACTGTCAGCACAGAGCCCGATGCGGGGCTTGAACTCACTAACCGTGAGATCATGACCTGAGCCGAAGTCAGACACTTAGCTGACTGAGCCACCCAGGCGTTCCTGGACTAGGTTTTAAAATGCTTGTCTCCTCCAACTGTCTGCCTTGCTTTGGTTCCCACACAGCAGACACTGATAAGAATTGGCTGCCAAATGTCTCCTGACTTTTATTTTGAGAATTCTGAGTGCCATGTGGTCCACGTTCTGAACTATGGAAAAAGGATGGACCATAGACATTTTCCATCTTACTTATGAAAAAGGGAAAATGAGGAGAAGGACATATATATTCAGAACAACATTCTGTTCAGAGGTGGGCAGCAGGATTGTACAGTGACTTGAAATATAGCTCTGGAGTCAAACTGCCTGGGTCTCACTGCCTGGAATTGCCTAGAATCCTGACTCTAACACTTACTAGCTCCGAGATGCTGAGCAAGTTAGCTAAACCTCTCTAAATCTCAACTTCTTATCAGTAAAACAAACTGTTGATTGTTATAATCCTCATAACATGTTTGTAGATAATCTATGTAATGTATTGTGTCTGATGCATAATAGAATTTAATAAACATTCTCTATCATTGTTACTGTTGCTGTTGCTATTAGTAATACTGACGCTAACTAACATGAGCTCTTTGGGAGGAGGAAAATGGGGAAATAAAGCTTCATGACCAAATGTTTTATCCAAATATCTCAAGGAGATTATAATAGCAGCTACAAACCAAAGGCACTTCTCTGGCCAAATGTCCACCCAGGCAAGAGGCTAACCCAGGGCAGCCTGCGGTGTGCCCACATGACTACACTGCTGCTGAGCGTGACTCATGGCTTCATTCCACTTACTGTGTGTCTCAGTTTCACATCTATGAAATGGGGTGAAAATAACAATAGCAATAGCTGCTTTCATTAAATTACTGGGTTGTTGTGTATACCCATTGAAATAACATTTGTGAAAGCTCTTTGTAAACCTTATGACACTATACATATACAGCACTGATAGGAAAACAAATACATTTCTAAGGTTTTATACATAGATTCATAATGTTGTAATATAAGAGATTTAAATTATTAGGGAATTCTAGAATCAGAGCATTCTATGATAAATTCTATAATAGAAGTGAGTAATGTCCTCTGATTCCATTTGTCTTGAAAAGCCTACTTGGACCCCCTGTATTTTCTTAGGGGCTTAGTCATTTTTTGCCGGTAGACACAGCATGCTTTGTGTGACTCTGTGATGCACATCACACAAAGGAGTGCTTACCTCCAGTGGGACACTTACCGAGCCCCTTCATGGCCTTCCTCAGGGTCTGGGCATCTTCTGTGGCACTGAATCTGGAAGCAGCTTTGATGGTGCCTCCTTTGGATGCCTGAGCACACAGAAAAAGATGTGACTGAGAGCCTTCATCTCATTCAGCACACATCCGCTGAGTGCCTACCATGGGTCTGACACTATAGTAGCTGCTGGGGATATGGCAGTGAGTGTGGGAGATGGGGCTCTTGCTCCCATGGGGCTGATGTTCTACTTCTAGTAGGAGGAGGTAAATAGTAAACAAGCCAACAAATGCATACATAAATGGTGTCCAGTGGTGAGAAGTATCAAAGAGTGGATAGAGAAGTCCTAGAGGGGCTACTCTGATCAGTGACATTTAGGCTGAGATCTGAATGACATAAAGCAGCTGGCATGCAAAAATTGGAGACTGCAGCGTGGTGGTGGTGCTGGTGGTAGTGGTGGTGGTGGTGTTACATGCAGAGGAGACAGCCAATGCAAAGGCCCTGAGGCTGGAACTAGCTTATATGCAAGGAACAGGACAGAGGCCAGCGTGGCTCAGGTTGGCAGTGGGCAAGGAGGGCAGTGGTAAGGGAAGTTCCATCACCACTTGTGCAGTAATCTGGTCCACACCCCCCGCCCCAAAAGAAAGGAACAAATCAAACCTGACTCCAATCAAGCCTCTAGAGCCAAATACCAATTTACAGAAAATAGAAGAGAGAGGAAAATGTCAACCCATACTACAGGGTTGTAATCAGCAAAATCCACACTGTGAGAAACACTACTTGACAAATAATCCAGGTTCTTCAACATATAAATTGCAAAGAGAATTACAAAAGAGAGAGATGGGGGCTGGGGACAAAAAACAGTAGCTTAAAAGAGATTAAAAAGGCATATCAATAATCATAATTTGGATCCTAAATCAACAGTAAAAATAAAAAGACAGTTATGAGACAACTGGAAATCTGAACACCAACTCGATATTTGATGCCATTAAGGAATTAGCATTACCATTTTTAGGTATGATAATTGTACCATGGTTATAGTTTGTTTTTAAGAGTTTTAATCTTATATATATTGAAAGCATTTACAGATGAAAGGATAAAATGCCTGGAATTTGCTTCAAAATAACACAGGTAGGGGGGAAGTAAGTGGAGATAAAGAAGAAACAAAACTGATCATGAGTTAATAATTATTGGTAGGCACACAGGGGTTCTTTTTAATCCTCGGTCTACTTTTCCACATGTTTACACTTTTACATAATAAAAGTTTCAAAAATGAAAAAGGAAGAAAGAAAATCAGAGAGGTGGGCTGGGGCCAGAAGAAGGCAGCCCTCATTGGGGCAAGGAGTTTATATTTTGTCCTAAGTGCAATGGGAAGCCACTGGAAGGTTTGAAGCAATAGGATGAGGGGGTGTGATCTGATTTACATATTAAAAAGATCTCTCAGGCTGCTGAAGGGAGAGGCAGCACCCGTAGAGAATCTTGGGCGAGACCCATGGATATGATACCAGGTGAGGTTGAAACAGAAAGAAACAGGCAGACTCCGCACATGTTTTGGAGCAAAGACAACAGAACTTGCTGATGAACTGACATGTGGGAGGCGAGGAAAGAAAAGAATCAAGTGTAACTCTAAATCTTTTTCCTGAGCAGCTGAGTAAAGAGTGGTGTCATTTACCTAGATGGGGACAAATTGGAGGAGGACTACCAGACTTAGGGGTGGGAGTGGGTGGGGAAGAAGTGGGGAGTGGGATTTAGAAGTTTTATTTTCAAGATGTTGAGTTTAGGATGTCCATTAAGCACCCAAATGGATTTGTCAAAAGGACGGCTGGTTATAAAATGTAAGTAGAGGTCAAGTCTACATACATCAGCATGTGGATGGTATTGGATGAGATGGCCTAGGGAGAAAGTGATTTCAAGAACAGGGAACCTAGGACAAGCCTGGGTCTCTCTAGTGTAGAGGTCCAGCAGAGGAGAGCCTAGAAAGGATGATCAAGAAAGATCAGTACTCGAAGTAAAAGGAAAACCAGGAATAGTGTGGTGTCCAGAGACTGAAGAAGGAGGGAGTGGTCAGTAACTGCCAAGGGAGGTAAGAGGAAGACACAGAAGGGAGGGTCAGATTTGGCAACATGGAAGTTCCTTGTGACCCTGACAAGACCTTTTGCAGCAGAATGGAGACTGAAGCCTGACCTATTGGACAGAAAAGTCATGAGGAGAGAGCCTCACTAGACAACAGAGACGTTGACTAGCATCGCTAGAAATGATCAAATGACTTAAAGTAAGATGTACTCTGATGTGTACAGGGATTAAAAGTTAGTGACCTTGAGGTGAAGGATCTGTACTCTGAAAACTATAAAACACTCATGAAAGAAATTGAAGATGACACAAACAAATGGAGAGATATTTCATGCTCACGGATTGGGAGAACAAATATTGCTAAAATGTCCAGACTACTCAAGGCAATTTACAGATTTAATATAATCCCTATCAAAATACCAACAGCATTTTTCACAGAACTAGAATAATCATAGAATTTGTATGGAACCACAGAAGACCCCAATTAGCCAAAGCAATCTTGAAAAAAAAAAAGAACAAAACTGTTGGTATCATCATCCCAGATTTCAAGATATACTACAAAGCTGTAGTAATCAAAACAATATGGTGCTGGTACAAAAACAGACACATAGATCAATGGAACAGAATAGAGAACCCAGAACTAAACCAATGATTATACGATTGATTGATCTTCAACAAAGAGCAAGAATACACAATGGGAAAAAGTCTCTTCAAAAAATGGTGTTGGGAAAACTAGACAGCTACATGCAAAAGAATGAAACTGGACCATTTTCTTACACCACACACAAAATAAACTCTAAATAGATTAAAGACCTAAATGTGAGACCTGAAACCATGCAATTCCTAGAAGAAAACATGGGCAGTAATCTCTTTGACATCAGAGGTAGAAACATTTTTTCTAGACTGGTCTCCAAAGCCAAGGAAGACAAGAGCAAAATTAAACTACTGGGACTACACGGACATAAAAAGCTTTTGCACAGTGAAGTTGCACAGTGAAGAAAACCACCAACAAAACAAAGCAACAACCCACTGAATGGGAGAAGATATTTGTAAATGATATAGCTGATAAGGGGTTAATGTCCAAAATATATACATTGTTTATGCAACTCAATATCAAAAAACAAAACAAAAACAAATAATCCAATTAAAAATGGGTAGAAGACATGAATAGACATTTTCTCAATAAGACATACAGACGGCCAACAGACATACGAAAAGATGCTCAGCATCACTCATCATTAGGGAAATGTAAATCAAAACCACAATAAGCTATTATCTCACAGCTATCAAAATGGCTAAAATTAAGAACACAAGAAACAACAAGTGTTGGTGAGGATGTAGAGAAAAAGAAATCCTCATTGCTGCTGGTAGAAGTGCAAACTGGTACAGCCTCTGTAGCAGATAGTATGGAGGTTCTTCAAAAAGGTAAAAATAGAACTACCATATGATTCAGTAATTCCACTACTGGGTATCCCCAAAGAAAACAAAAACACTAACTTGAAAAGATATATGCACCCTATGTTTACTGCAGCATTATTTACAACAGCCAAGATATGGAATCAACCCAAGAGTCCATCTATATAGATGAATGGATAAAAAAGATCTGATATATATAATACAATGGAATATTACTCAACCGTGAAAAAGAATGAAATCTTGCCATTTGCAGCAACATGGATGGATCTAGAGGGTATTATTATTTTTAAGTTTTTAAATATTTTATTTATTTCTGAGAGAGAGACAGCATGAGCAGGAGAGGGTCAGAGAGAGAGAGGGAGATACAGAATCCAAAACAGGCTGTAGTCTCTGAGCTAGCTGTCAGCACAGAGCCCAACGTGGGGCTCGAACCCACGAACCGTAAGATCATGACCTAAGCCAAAGTCGGACGCTGAACCGATTGAGCCACCCACGTGCCCCTAGAGAGTGTTATGCTAAATAAGTCAGTCAGAGAAAGACAAATACTATATGATACCACTCATATGTGGAATTTAAGAAACAAAACAAATGAATGGAGAAAAAGAAGACAAACAAAAAAAAACAGACTCTTAACTCTAGAAAACAAACTGGTGGTTACCAAAGGAGAGGTGGGGGGATGGGAGAAATAGGTGAAGGGGATTAAGAGTACTCTTATCATTATCAGTACCGAGCAATGTAAAGAATTGTTTAGTCACTAGATTGTACACCTGAAACACATGTAACACTGTATATTAATTCTATTGGAATTTTAAGAAATAAATACATAAAAATTAAAAATTAGTTAGCCAGACCCTCTTCAAATAAAAATCAAAAATTAAAAACATCAGCAAGCAAAACACAGGCTAGTGACCGGTGGGGACCATCTCAGTTGGATTATGATTTAGAGACAATTTATTGATTAACACCAAGGTGCCCTGAATATTGTGAATGTATTTACTAATTTATTTATACGTGATTTATGTTGTGGAAGGTAGTGTAGAGAAATACATATAGCTCAATATAAAAAATAAATACGTAGATGTGGAAATTCAGTGACAGGACATAAAACACAGAAAACTAAAGTAAAACTAGGGAGGTGAGAAGGAAACCAAAATGCAGACCTTACGAGCCTGTGTTAGAAGGAAGCCACAGATTTTTCTGCATAGAAGCCAAAGTAAGAGGGAACTGTAATCGGCAATGAGACTCACTGTGTCTGTAAGAGGAAAAGAGACCAGTTGCCCAAGAAATGCCCTGCTTTTATTTGTACTGAGTTTACGGAGAGGACATCTTCATTACTAGAGCTCTCTGGGCTCCCTGATTTAGCAGTAGAGGGCAGAATCAAACTAGCTTTGGTTTTAAATATATCTTTCCCTCTGTGTTTGACACTAAGCATTATAAAGGCCTTTTGCAACCTATATTTTGATATTCTGAATTCTGTTTTCTTGTCTTTAAAAACATCTTTAAAAACAATCTAATTAGGGGTGCCTCGGTGGCTTAGTTGGTTAAGTGTCCAACTCTTGGTTTTGGCTCAGGTCATGATCTCATGGTTCGTGGTTTGGGTCCTGCATCA